AAAACGAGCTTGTGGGTACATACTATGGAAACATCATCAAGTTGGATTTATTTCAATTCACTACACCCGGATTACAAGATGCTTGGTTTGGATAATTGTTGGTTGATTTTGGACATTTCCAAGTGAGTGGTGCTGATGCCTTTTTTGGATTTGTATACAAATCCATACCTTGAAATAATAGTGGTTTGATATATATATATATATATATGAAACTATGAAGAGCATATTTGTTGCATAAAGTTGGATAGAGTGTTTATTACTTTTTGGTTATTGTGGAATAATTTGATAAACCTTTCTTGAAAGGTTATGTATACTACCTTGTGAATTTGATTTATGAGATAGCTTTTGAAAATATTTGAGAAATACTTTATGAAAGAGGATTCTGACTGATGAATTGAGTTGCAAAGGGTCATGTATTTTGGTTTGTGAAACCGATTTATGATGTAGATTATGGATTGGTTTTGTGGAAAGAATTGATTTGCGACTGGCTATATGTTTTGGTTTGTGAAACCAATTATTATATGAACTGGTCAATAACTAAGTGCTACACGGTAACACGAGTCTTGTGAGAGCTACCTCTAGAGCCTTCGACTATTAATATGTTAAGTCAAGGATTAAGTGCTACATGGCGACGTGAGTGTCGTGGGAGCCGCCTCTAGGGCCTTGTACTATTAATATGTGTTTTTCAAGGGCTAAGTGCTACATGGCAACGCGAGTCTTGTGAGAGCCACCTTTAGGGCTTGTACTATTGATATGTGTTGGTAAATAACTAAGTGCTACACGATAACGCAAGTTTCGTGAGGGCTACCTCTAGAGTCTTGTATTAGATATTTATTATCATGAAATTAATTATTGATGTGTGATTTGAGATTGATTAATGGACTTGATCATTGATGTTTAAATTGTAATTATGGATCAAAAGAGTAATTTTGATACGTATAAAGTTTTGTGGAAAGTTATAACCCACTTTTGGTATTGTACATATACGAAATACGGTATTTGAGAATAACGAGTATTTCTAATACGTATAAAGCTTTGTTGAAAAGATAAAACTTGTCTTTGACCTTGTACATATGCTATCTTGTTGATTTGTATTAAGTGAGTTTCAGTATGATTTAATAAATATGCATAGTGATTACTTGATCAGCTTAGAAGAGATGTACAATTCACTGAGCTACGGTCACTTATCCCATTTCTTCCAAATCTTCCAAGTTCCTCGGTTGACAGACGATTGTATGAGAGTGCTATTGTCCAAGGACCTTTGTGAGTTGGATTTTGGGTATGGTTTGGGGAAGTTATAATATGTTTGAGATGACATTTGCTGGGTTTAGTTGAGTTCCATAAAAAGGTGGGACTGACACGTTCGCCCTTCCTTTTTAAAAAATTGCATATTATTTACTTTTCTCGCGAAATTAGATGTACCAACACTCTTGAAATATGCATGCCATACTTTTTAAAAACTCTCCATTCCTATATAAGTATGGAACATATGCTTTTAAGGCCACTACTGCCCCATGGCCTCTTGGCAAGTCCAAGTATTGCATACACGAGAAAAAATAATAAAAAAGAAGCATATGTTTTGTCTTTGTCATCAGACACGTGCTTGGCACTTCTCATGCCCCGAACAACACGAGTTTCATCCGAGTGGAGTTAACAGCAAAAGGCCTGAAGGTCGTACCAATATAAAAAGCAAAATTTGAGTAGAAATCGACAATGACGAGAAGCCTAGTTTTGAAAAGGATGGGAATGGAGTAGACCTTGGGAGTTCTCAATTTGCTTACCAACAGTCTTAAATTACGCATGCCATACTTTTTAAGAACTCTCCATTCGCATATAAGTATTGAACATATGCTTTTAAGGCCACTACTGCCCCAATGGCCTCTTGGAAGCTAGGTCCAAGAATCACGTACACGAGAAAACAAGAAGCATATGTTTTGTCTTTGTCATCAGACACGTGCTTGGCACTTCTCATGCCCCGAACAACACGAGTTTCATCCGAGTGGAGTTAACAGCAAAAGGCCTGAAGGTCATACCAACATAAAAAGCAAAATTTGAGTAGAAATCGACAATGACGAGAAGCCTAGTTTTTGAAAAGGATGGGAGGGAGTTCTCAATTTGCTCTTAGAACTCTTGATCGATTCCTCTGCCGATGAGGAGTGCAACTCGTTGTCCTTGAAGGCAAGGATCCCAGCCTTAACCATGTCAAGCGATGACAGTTGTCTGGTCCGGCGATGTCGGTGTATTAGCCACTGTATTTGCAGGAGGCGCTCTTTCTCTCGACGTATGTCGTCTTTTGGTTTGGGCGTGCTTGGATCTAACTGCAGGCTCTCAATGTAATTCCATCAGTCTGGACTTGGACTAAGCACTAAGCAGTGTGTGAAATTCTTGACTCTGAGAATTGCTCGAGTCATCATTAGTCAATTACTTTTTATTCCTTGATGCTACATTTTCTCACGTCTACTTTGCTATTCCTTCGCGTATCTTGTCTATATTCTGCATGGGTTGGTGACCATTTGCCCCGCTAAAATCAAAACAAGGACTTTGATCAAGAGCATCGCCAAATGTCGAAGTGTTATCCCAAGTCGTTGATCTAGGTTTTGTCGAGCATTATGTATGGTATACTCACTCGACCTAAAAGTTCAGACTTTTCAATCAAATTTTCAAACATGATTTCAAAAGCCGAGTTTCACAATCATCATGTGATCACATATAACCCCAACAAGATTAGTCCTTTCCAAACCCTAATCCCACCACTTATTGCTCCCCACCCACACAAAACTTGTCACTTGCAAATGGAAGCATCAAATCCGGGTTGCTTTCACCTCGACTTGTTCTCCCTCCTTGCAAGCGACCTTGTCTTCGACCTTAGCAGGTTCGACCACCTTCGCGGCAGCAGCTTTCGCGACGGTCTTAATGGCCTCTTCCTTCACGCTCCGTTGTGGCTTCGGGGGAATGCCGCATGCATGGCCTGAGCAGCAGCCTCTCCTCTCCATCTTCTTCCCTCTCGTCTCTTGATTTCGCTGAGAGTTTATGTTATGGCGTGGTCTTTGGAGGACCTAAGCGGAAAACGAGCGTCCATATATAATGTCAAGAACAGATGGCGAAACAAGCAGTGTTCTAGACAACACGCGAGCCGTTCTCCGAAATACAAAAGGAAAGAACCATCATGCATTCGTGTCAGTATTCGTCATTTTTAGAAATTATGGCGAATTCGAGGGCTGGTCGATGGTAATTGAACGTGAAAATCATGATCCGACATTCACGTCATCAGTTCCCGAAAAGCTGTTCAACCTCGTACGAAAGGAAGCACATGTCATGCATGCATTCGTGTCGAAATTCGTCGGTTTTGGAAACTACAGTGAATTCTAATGTTAGTAAATGGTGATTTCAGAGATATGGTAGAGGTCCGTTTTTCCATATCAGTTTCGAATATGGCAGCAATGCAACATTTTCGTGCCTTGAATGGCAATGATAGATCATTGACTCTAAATAATACTTTTTGTCTCACCCTGATCTCTCTCTCTTCGCGAGCTACATCGGAGCCGCCTCCTTTGCAAATTTAAACCGTGATTGTCTGCCATTTCCATCATTATGTCTCTCCTGTTCGATCACGCCCGTTAGTTTCGCATTGTTTTTACTGTCGATCTCTCTCGTTTTTACCTTTGCGTAATCCCCCATTTCCGTGATCACAAGGAAGGTCGAGAAGCATCTTGGAAGATGTGATTTCCTGGGCAGATCCTAGGGTCAGGCCCATGGGCGTAATGGGCCGGCCCACGTTCACCGTTTTTCCAAATCTTCCCTCCCGTGATACTTCCAAAACGCACTTAGCTCTCTAAAATCGATCGCCAACTTCGTTTATTGCGTTCTAAATATCACGGCGGAGAACAATAACAACCACCGTGTCCGATCAGGCAAACATAATCCGCACTTCGCCTTGCAATTGCCGCAGACTCATTTAGTGAGTACCGGGACAACATCCTCGTTTTAATGTTCTATTAAACAATCGGACTAACGGAGAACTTTTTTAATGAAAAGGACTCTTTGATAAGTTTATCATTTGAGATATTTTAATAAGATTTCCAAAGTTTAGAAGTCTTTATGATATTTTGTCTCATGATTTTTTTCAGGAACGGTCCTTCACTTTCAATGGTAATTACGAAGTTCATTCCGGAAGGCTTACGAATCAGGGAGATACATCATCAATCTGAACGCCCTACTTTTACTCGCCTGAAAAAGTGTCTAGTGTTGGCAACCAGAGCCCGCAGAAGAATGTATAGTTTAAAGCGGCAATGCCGACATGGTGCAGAAGACGAATCGCATTGTCCAAGTGATATGCACTCTTAGCCGCTTGCGAGCCCTCCACCATTGTCCCTCCATGATACAAGTGGGAAACCTGCGACCTTCAACTTGCAAATCAAGTTCTGGCGTACTCGACCAACCACCAGGGTATTGTATTGGCCGTGGTTGCTGCTCATTCTAATTGGTATAAGTGGGGAACATTCCCTTTTTTCAGCAGGATTTCCATGATGCCCTTGTGCATGCAAAAGTAAACAAAGGGTAGAAATCGAAATGAGAATATGCCAACTCCGTCGGCACGTTTATTCGGCTCTCTTAATCGGAGCCTGTACGGTTACTCATGAACCAAAATAATGGGATGAATTAAGGACGTGACCTTTGTTCAGACTCCAAAAACAAAACCAAATCTCTCTCACAGGCGACAAACGCCAAAAGGGAAAACCTGCAAATGCGACAGTGACAGAATGGTCTGGTGCAGAATGTGCGATCTGCACCTGATTCTCTTGAATGCGCAAAATCTACATTAAACGAACTCAGGAAGTACCATGGCGGTACTTGTCAACGAAACTCAAGAAGTACAGGTAACATAACTATAATGTTACTTGATTTGATTAACTTAATTAGAGCATGACAAATATGTACAGATAATAATTATTTCGAAGCAACCGAGAAAAGGACATGCACATCCAAGCAGGAACAAGGGGGGAGAGAACCAGGCAGAAGACAAGATCCTAGTTACATAATAAATAATATCTAACAAAAAGAGGGAAAGAAAATGTGTTTTCCCCTGCCCGTTTCCTTGAGCGCGCTCGCTGTCTGCAGCAACAGAATGCAGCCATTGCTCTCAAGGGAGCTTTTATTGTCAGGGATCGAACTTTTACCCCCGGATTCAGTAAAACTTGCATGTGTCTAAAGACTGATTCAGGACCAGGAACCCAGATGATGGTGTAAATTATATTGTTGGCTCAAATGGCCTTCAACTTTTGGCCTCGAAACTAGCAAGGCACCTGTTCTGGTCAAAACAAACAAGTCAGTAAGCAACCCCCATCCGAAAAGAATGAAGCAAAATAGCAACTTTACTGCGCACTCATATACAAAGAGGAACCAACAGAAAAAGGTCATCTTCAATCACATCCCAGCACAAATAATATGCTTTGTCTTTCTTAATTATCTGCTAGAAAGGGCTTTGTGATCCATTTTTTATCTAGGATGTACCGTGTTGCCCGTACAATATTATCTAAACAGAAATACAAGGGCCATCACAGGTCACCTGAATCTTCAGATTCGCAACTCCAGATATATTTCTGAATCATCGCCAATATTGAGCCCACCGATGAATAGTTTCCACCATTTGAGGGAACAATGCATTAACGCTATCGGTGATAAGACCCTGAAAGAAATGTATGCAGGCTTCATCGTCCAGATCCAAGTTGAACTTCTCCTGAAGCTGTAAGCATAGGCAGTCTCAGTCATGACCAAAACAATAACTTCATCTCTGGACAGAAAAGAAAAGACGATGCACAGAAATGGGTTCTAACCTTAAGGATTCCTTTTTCAGGATCAGAAGCAATGTCCGGGATGTTCGAGCCCGCCATCAGATGGAAAAGGTTCAAGATTAGGTTACTTGATTTCCGAAGAATGTTGTATGCTTCACAACAATATGTCTTGAATCTCGTGTAGTACTGGCTGAGGAAGGAAAATGTTGCCCATTACCACATATAGAACAATAAAAATTGCCACAAGTATACTTGTCGTGCACAATGAAAATGCCTGTGTATACATCAACACCATTTTTTGATCTTGAAGAACATTAAAATAGTGAGCTACCTTTCAGTTCCACCCATAGCTTCTACCATTTCTTTGCAAAGTTTCATTGGGGGCGGAAATGGCTTAGGATCCCGGCCAAGAATAAAACCAAAGTCAACGTGGAAAAGACGTCCATCATCCCTGAGAAGAAGGTTGTCCAGGTGTCTGAAGGACCAGAAAGATCAGCATTATACTATTATAGATCTAATACTTTTGAAACAACTAAATCAACTAAGAAAGCATAACATTATCACGGAGACAGACTGCACTAAGAACAAGACATGTAAAGTAGATGAAATGGCACTTGACAAACTACTTATGTAATAGACGAAGGTTATGTATTCTAAAGAGGACGTGTAATAATCTTCAGTCATCATGCCTAATTAAATAAAATTAACATAGACATATTCGATAAAATCGTTAAAAAGATTGTATGTATATTTTACCAAAAAAACAAAAACCAGAACTACCACCGGAACGAACCCTATCAGGACTATTTTAGCATCACCACGCAACACCAAAGGATATTGACAGAGGAGAAGACTAAGATAAAAGTTCATTCTTTAACCATGTATCAAATCTCAATGTGAGGTTATGTCTTTTGACAAGCACATAGTTAAGATATTTCTGACAAACAAAACAAACAGTGCAAATGAGCATTATCTGAAATAATTGCTCCAGCTCCAACACAATTTAAATCAAGAAGTGACGTATAACAAGAGAGAGAAAAAACGAATCTAAATGATTTTACATAATTATTGCATTCAGTTATCACCTGTCTCCAATGCCAAGTATATATGTAATAACAGAGTACCCAGCACAGCTTTTTATAAACGTATCAAGGCATGTAGCTGTAATCCCAAATGGTCCATGCTCATCAGGATGAAACTTCTGTAGATAACTGATAATACTTCGATGCTCTGAGAGAATCTGCATGTAAATAGAGATGTCTAATAAATTCAAAGATCAATATATATCACAACATTCAACAGCAGTTTGGCATTAATCATTCAAATTGCACAAAAAAAAAAGCTTCATGAACCTGTATTAACCCTATCTCCAGAAATAAAAGTGATGTCCGTTGTCATGTTAGATTTTTTATTGTAGGGGTAAAAGAGGAGCAACACTTTTACTAGCACTTAAATTGCATTTTGCTTTAAGTCAGGCAACTGAAAGATATCATCCGATAAGTCGAGTGACTAAGAGATAACGATATCCTGTGTAAACTCTCAGAACCAAATTTGCATCTTTCCCTTGATCTTTTATGATACAGCACACTCTATTCACCAGGAATTCATATCTTGTGCCTATTATGAAACAGATTAACCTAAACTACCCACCATTTGAAGTCTAGCTCAACTTCAATAAAAAGGACCTTGAACCGCTATACAAATAGTCTTTGGAGATAAGTTACCTGTGCCAAAGACCGAGAAGGTATAAATTCCAACATGCCTTCATCTTGTCCAGTGGCTAGTACCTTATACGGAGTCAAGCATAAATCCAGGTTCTCCGACTTTAGTAATCGATCCATAAGAGAGACCATCTGGATAACCTACAGAAAACAGAACATTTTGGTGTTACCAAAACATTTTTCGTCGATATCCAACTGCTTCTCTTACTCACAAGTGCAAAAACAGACTGAGAACAAGAGAGTTAGAAACAAGAAAAAAGGTCCCGAGCCAGAAAGTTAAAGCTATGGAACATATTTTTAATGCAATAATGGAGGCTTGATTACCAATTGATCTTGTCGAATATCATCTCCCTTCTTGAATATTATCTTGCAATTTCCACCACTCGCTGTTCTGAAAGTAAGACGAAGAGGATGAAGTGCACTCTTGAATATTGATGACTCTGAAGGATCAATACCAGTGATGAGGACACCGGGAGTGAGTGGCGATCGTATTGGCTGAGCAGTAGAAACAAGTTGTCTTAAGAGGGACTATAATAATCTGAATCAAGCAAAATTCACAGAGTGGAAAAGACAGTTTTACAGAAAATAGAGATACCTCCTCAAAATATGTGAGCTCACTTAGAAGACCAGAAAGAAGCTGTCTAAGCTTCTCAATCTTTTTCTGGGTATTGCCACGTACATTTCTAACGTCCCTCATTATCGAACACAACTGGGCCGTCAACTCTGTCTGACGCACCAAACTTTGCCAGAGTTTGAATCCATCTTCATTTCCAATGACAACAGATGCCAACTGTATAAATTACAATCTAATAACTGCTGTGCACAACCAGATTTAATAACATCTCTAGCTTAGTCTTTCGGGAAATAGACAGAACATGTGGCCACTATACTGATAGATAGTGATTCCAGTAGACAGAGCCATCCCAAGAATAAGGATCTCAAGAAAGTACAATGAAATCCTGCTAATTTCTTCATCGAAAGTCTAAAAATACCATCAAACAAATCGGACGGTGTTTCTTATTCTTTTCTACATTTGGCTAATCATCCACACAGACACATTCGAGAAGCATACATGCTCAATCACAAGTAGCACCTCCAGTGCTATATAACAGAGAAGCTCATTGGTCTTTGCCTATATAATTAGAAGAACAAATAAATCAACCATACCCCAATTCAGTCGGAGTGAAACCCCCACAATTGCTCCTAAATTTTATTGCCCCACACTTAGCTCTAAAAGAACTTAACTAAAGAATCTCAACGAAACATCAAGACAACCTTCTAGCATTTCGGTACAAAACGACCATAAGAAGAAAAATAAAACAGCAAAGCTGGAACCTTGAAGAACTCAAACCTTCATCATATGCTCTTCCAAGATCTCATAAGTACAGTAGTATCGTTTAGCAAAACCACAATCATAAAGTTCCACAGCAACATACCACCGGAGAAAGCTGGCCAGCTCAATATTACGCAATGCTGTCACAAAAATTTTCTTTCGTTAGCAAGAAAAAGATAAGACACAACTGATTCCCAAAGAAGATAAGGCATACAGCGTTGCACAAGAAACTGAGAAAGGCGAGATTTATCAGATCGTTCAAAGCGAAGAGCTTGAACCAACTGAAGCAAGTAGCACTGCAGCTCTTCATCATCAGCCCTCTCAAGCACACTGACAGCATATGCACGAACCTGCAGTGAAGGCACCCAGAAGCATAAAAGCATGAGACCCTTTCATTTCCATTGACAATGAAAACTCTGAACATCTCTCTGAGATGCATGCATTTGATGCACTGAACTCCATGATGCTAATGAAGAGCTCCATGATGCTAATGAACTACAATCAACAACCAAACCATCTCTCTGGTTGGAGGAGGTACAAGCATGGAATGCTCATAAATTGCCAAACCATCTCAAATCTTCAAACTGATAACTCCTCTTCAATTTTTTTTTTTCCTTTTAGTACTTTGTAACTGAAAGAAATCACTGAATAATCTAAAGCAGAGTATTCAAAGAGATATTTCAATCATTTGGTCGTATCCCATATCCTATGTGATAGAGCAACAACATAAAAATTATCTGCTAGCATGTATAGAGAACAAGGATTATACCAGGACCACAAGAAACAAACCTCTTACAAAACTCTTACCTCCTCACTTTCAAAAACAGGAGATAAAAGTTCTAGGGCATCGCACACATCAATTGTTTCCCACCTTCCCATTAATTCTAATGCCTGCTTAGCTTCCTGCAAGAAAGGGAAAAAAATTATGAACAAGGATTATGATTAGGTGATACCTATCAGTGATCATTTGGATACTCTGATAGAAGTTTCACCTACATACTTCCTTGGAAGAGGTGCTTAACTAGGACCTAGAAACACTTTGCAAATTACCATGTTGCAATTCTTCTTAACTTAAATACTTTGCAATCCTAAAGCATGTCAAATGCTCTATTACGTCCATGCAAAATTTTTCCGCGTAATGCACACTTACACGGGCATATGCAAGAAAACTTAATATACTCTTATACAGGTAGGTAGGAGCCAAACTAGAGGAGATACTCAGAGCATAAGGACAGGAAATGATGTGCCTGTCGACAGGCATTAGTGGGAATACCCTAAGTGTATAAGAGACACGTCAAAATAGTGCTGACCTGAACATCACTCCATTCAACACAGCGAAGGAACTTCGTGAGAGCTCTCTTCTCAGACATCAAAGAAAAGCGAAATTTCCAAAGGAGCTGCCTCTCGTCTCCACTTAAAGTCCTTGTAGGAGGATATTTAAGTAGTTTTTGTATTGACCTTACAATAAAAAGATTGAGCAGGTATTACTAGCACGAAAGGTGAAAGGTGGAGGAGAAGTACACAATTAGCAGTCAGACATTGAAGTTATCGGGAAATATATGATGATTTGCATAAATAAATAAAAAAATGACTTCGTAAGATTTATAGCATTATTTAACCGCTAAACTTAGACAAGGATACTCATCTCAATTTGATTCTGTCTACAGAGTGTTCAATAGTTAACTCGATTTAAGGCAAGGTGAAGTAGGCAATCAGAGATGCAACATCATTCAATCTAACTGTTTGCCAAAGATAGCTGGATCTCGACATGTAAGTATGACATAAAGCTCAATCTAACTGTAATTTAATGAGGTCATACACAATTACAAACGCCTCAATATTCTTTCTCTTAGTTTCGTGCAGATTCTGCAGCAGGTTAATGCTTTAAGGATAGAAGTTTCTTCAAGCAAATTAAGGATGTCATGAAAAATGGCTTTAAAATACAACTAATTATGAGAGACCTCACCATCAAATCTGTGACTAAAGCATGTGATTGCTTCATTAAATGAATAACTACTTAGAACCCATGAATAGCACAAACTGAAGTAGCTTATTTTGTTGTTTCAGTAGGTGACAGTCTGATCTGGAAGGCAGTAGCGAACAAACTTACACAAAGCAAATTCTGGGACAAGAATATATAGCAAAATTCTATGTTAACATATAAGTGTTTCACATCTTTATACCTACTTCGGCTTCGCCCAACTTCTTTAATGTAAGAAAAAGAGCGGAATAAAAAAATAATGATCTTTACGTAAATCAGAGTCCCATTCAAAGTGCAAAACAACACTGTCCAGTACATGATAACTGAATTGAAGAGGTTTTTACTTGTGGGTCAAACTGAAGAGGAATTAAAAGAGAGCCAAAACATGGCCAATCAATTTAGAGACAACTGATGCCAACATCGTTCCTAGGATTATCCCATTGAGAAATCAACTTGTGTTCTGGCCAATTTAAGAATCAACAACGCTTTATACATATATACACATGCATAGCCACACATACGCCTAGAAGCATGCGCTCAAACACATAATAGCTGAAAACATAGAGATCCTTTATCTACAGGAGGTTTATACATAATAGGTCTATCGATCCATGCAACTTTTATTGCAACGTTTCTTTCTTCCGGCTGTAATGGTGACGACAGCTGATTTTAGAAGAAAAGAACAGAGTAATTGGCCCTTATACTGCAAATACTGTAAGTTGTATCCCAGTTTTCTATCGCATAAAAAAAGTCAGACTTACTTCCTTTGGGTAGAGTTTGGTTTAAGATCCTTGTCAATGATACCACGGGTTAAGCTCCTTGCTAGCTTTAGTTGCTTGTGCTCAGATGGATTTATCCTTCCCATTTCAGGGTCTGAAACTATAACAAGTTCATTTGTTGAAATAATTGGTGGAGGTAAGAAATTCGCCCCAGATTCCTACAAATCGAACATAATACACTTTTTTTACAAAAGGAAGATGAAATGTTTTGTGGAAGATCAACCTGCTAACCGATGCACAAGAAAAATAGTGTCTTGCCAAAGAAAATAGCCACATGAGCCACTTAGCCCAGAAACTGATAAAGACAAACTAGCAACTATCAAACACCATTTTTATAGGATTCTAAAAGGGCACACACTCTGCAACATTCAACAGAATAGATAAAACAACCCAACGAAATGGATCGAGCATTAAAGACTTTCCATTATGAATTAAGTCAGCAACAGCCATCATACATCAATCTATATGGAATAATGTTGATCAATCCATAGATGCCTTCTAACGTCTCATCTCAGCAGTAAAGTTTTGCCATGGGATAAGCTAATAGTGCAAGAGGCTAACATTAACGCTATGGCGCAGAAACTTTGTAGTAAGTAGGGCTAGGGTTACAGAAGTATATTGAATATCTAATTACAAGTAGTAAAAGGGAAACTCTTCTTAAGAATTAAAATATAGTCCTTAAAAAACAACATCAAAGAGATTTTCTCCAGAACAAAGAAATCCCTACTCTAAGACATTACAGAGATTGAGTACACTGAGAGAGTTACAGCACTAAACTCCAGTCACTCTGCATGCATATTCACAATAAGGCAGATCTATAAGAATTTGTTCAGTGTAGATGAATCCAACCTCATTTCTTACATCATGTTTCACAATTAAAGTTAGGAAGGAGATTAACAGATAAGTAGAGAAAGGAAATCGAAGGGAACAATTAAAAATATTGTAGTTTCCTCCACAAAAGCATATTTGAGGAAAAATGCAACAATGAAAATGAAGTTAGATAATGGACCTAAATGATCTTTGTGTTGTTCACAATTCAAACAAAAGTTAGGTAGTAACGGAATAGTGCCTGGGTGCATTTCCTTCCTATAGTGTTGTCCTAGAGGGAACGGTTTCCTCTAACTTCCACACATTTTCTCCTTTCAATTAACCAAATAGAGGAAATACTCTTGGCAATTATATTTCCTCCCCCTTCCCTCCATCCAAACACTCTTATGAAACAAAAGCTTCATATTGACATCAGCTTTACTAATGACATTACCAATACAAGTAAGATAGTTGTTATATTAACCATATGGCATGCCTCTTGGATTTCCTACTGTTGGCCAAGAGAAGGAGCTTAGACAAGATGAGAAAAACCAGCACTAACCGACATTACAAGTAAGCATGAAGTTTTTTGTGACGAACAACATAATAAACTATGGAAAATGAGACGAAATTTCACTTCAAATTATCTTTTGTCAACAAAGCATGTGTTAACCCAGGAATAGAAGAAATGCACCAGCAACAAACTTAATTTTCATTTGCCCATATCATGGTGAAGATACTACATCTAATCTGATAACTAAACCCAATTTCTAGTGTCTAAATGTTTTTCACAACAAGCACGAGCACACAGAATGAGAGGCCTATAACTTTGTGCAATGTAAAAACACTCACCAGATGAAGAGGAATGAAGAAAATAGATGGACAGGAGAAAGTCATGACAATGATAAATTGAGCTTTCAATAGGCTCACTGTCTGGTCTCATGGACAAGTTTCCGAGTCAATGTGCACAAGTTGAACCAAAAACAAACAAACCCTTCAAGAGATAACAACTGCCTTTATAGCATTCTTTGTGAATGTTTACCTGGAAAACAACTTGATGTTCAAAGCTACAAAAGTCAACAACCAGGTATAGATAGGAATTCCCAATTTTATTGCTCTCCCGTTCCTTGACTTTGTCCATAGCTTTAAACGCAAGGCGGTCTAGCCAATCAATTCTTTGAATCTGTCCTCTTTCATATTTATTCATAAGCTTTTCCAAGCGCTCCAACTCGCCCCGCTCATGCTTAGGGACCTATAAACATATTGCAAGTACCAAAAATTATCATTGCTTTCATGCCCAATCTGAAAGTTGTAATCACCAGCATTAAATGTAACAAGCAGAAACCTTTCCCGGAGTATTTGTCGGAAATGAGCCATCAGCTTCCTTTCCTTGCCAAAGTCTAAGCTTCTGCTTCCCTGTTTTGAGCTGCTTTTTGCTGCTAAATAGAAGAATCGTAGCCCCACCAATCAACCCCTCCTCTTTTCCACAAGAAACATCCCAGACCTAAAATTTTTATGTCAAAACAGGATTTTTTGCTCTCAATTAGATGTAGAATTCAATTAGATATACCTTAGATCAACACCAAAATTGCAAGCATCAAATTCTTTCTGAACCACATTTGAGGGATAAAAGTTGTGAACCACTTGTAGATGAAACCATTGCCTCATCACTTAGGAGACAAATGTGATGATATTCCCTTAGTAACCATACCAAGAACCAGCTTAGGTTCACAGACCATGCCTCTCAACAGAAGCTAAGTATTCATGAAAAGACATGCTTGGATAATTTCATGGTAGTTGATGTGGGACAATAATGAATACAGTAGGGAACATATGGTCCAAGTATTAGCTCTGAGAAAACAGCATTTCACTAGGGATCAACTTTGTCAATGGATAATCAGGCTTACATGTAGCAATGCCATGTTATGATCAGAGTACGCCCAACAAGTAATAAAGAAGAGATACAAATGTATGTAATGAGAGGTGTACATCAAGTAAGCGGCAGCATTTCGGTGTAGATACAAAGTCAGATAAGATACATCTACAATACACAAGTGAAGGAACATTCCAGACTCACTGTTAAAGCAAGTTGTGAGTGAGCAGTTAAGTCTCGATATTTAGTACTCAGAGTGATGAGTTCATTCCAAAAATATGGTGGCCCTGCAGATTCCAACCTGGCATTGACATGAGTAGCTAAGATTTGGATTGATGTTCAACAGGATCTAAATCTCCAACTACCCATGGCAGATACTCTTATTGACAGAATAAAATTATATTTAGTCAATCACTGTCAGGGGACCACTATGATTGACCCACGACAACTGCCTGTAATTAAAGGAAATTGTACATTCATAACATAAGTAAGTACTAAAATGAACTTCTACCACAGTTTATTTCATCAGCATGTTTATCGCAGAATAATGAACGGAGTTCAGTAGATAGATAACAGAAACCGAAAGCAAAGCCAATTGCATGTTTTTGTCTTCTGAAAATTAAAGACAAAAGAACAAAATCTTCTCATGGCAACTAGCTGTCATTAAAGACCGTGAAAATTTTTGTTTCAATATTTCGTCCATTGATGGCCATTGACATAGGACCGTGTTATTTCGTTCATCTTCCATCTCCCAGGATAAAATCTAAGAAACTGACAAGCATCATCTAAAACATATATCGCCAACGAACTATTTTCGAAATTCCAACAATCTCTGGCCTTTGGTTAAAGCAACCTTGAAAGCAACAGACTCCCGTACTTTCTGAGAAAAATGAGCCAAAAAGGTGCCTGAGTTGCCAAATTAAGTTCCAGATAATCAGTATCATTCAGTAAATAGAAATCCCAAATTGTTATTCTAATGGACTAATTCAAACACAGAGCTCCCCGATAGACAAAAAGCAAAGACAGACAAACTGTAAAATGGATTTTTATGCTGATATCTGAAGAGTTTACAATTATAAGTATTGAGGCCAGGGATACAATCAAAACTATTTCCAGGGTTACATTTAAAATTTTCATTACCACTCTTGCAAGAAAGATCAGAGTCTGTCTCTTTACAAGACTACCTCATGCAACAGACAGATAGTGCCAGAAAAACATGCAACATCAACTAACGCGCTAAAACGATTGCTCCAATGTAGTACATCCCACATTCCCAACCATCAACATAGGCCACACTGATGTTACCAGATTCAGTCACCCTCATCTCTCTCGCTCCTCTAAACATCCACTTCAGCAAGAAAACACCATAGATATCCACTATCATCTTAATTTCAACCGACTAAATTACAGCATCAACAACCTCCTTCCCCATATCTAGTGTCACATAACATATGTTCTCTGGTTAAGTGAATAAACATTTTTAAGTTTTCCCAGATATCTCATCGTCGTCCTCCATGTTTCCTTACAGCAAAACTCTGTTTTAATTGTCTCTACAAATGGTGAACCGAGATATAATGGAAGAAAATGTCACTGGGAAGCAGCATTTGGCACGACGGACAACAGAAGGATCATGCACGGGAAAAAGGATTGGCACACGAGGACCGGATTAGATTAGGCAGGCACCTTGTTCTAGTGGGAAGGCCAAATGGGGCACCGTCAATGTATAGAGAGCACTCAACGTATAGCTCCACCTTTCGCTCCTCTGCGCTATGATCAATCTCTGCAGAAGGAATTCAATGGAGACGGTATATAACAGCCGAAAGCATAAAAGCCGCAGCAGAATCTAAAGGGCTCGCCAAACCAGTAACCAATAACTAGAAATACACGTATCCATCATTAGAGGGCAAAAGTGAGATACACACCATGACAGAACCCTCCTTACACCATCAAACGGTTTTACCTATATACAATTCACCCCATTTCAAGAATCCACAATCAACACAATTTTGGGGAATGTAACATCACCGCCGCACCCAACTTCTTCATACAGATTGACAACAGAAAGAACACCAAAGTTCAGCTACGCCAACCGCTGAGCCGACCCAGAAGTTCTTTTTCATTATTTTCTTTCTCGCTGCTTCAGCCTCCCAAGTTCCAAGATCCACCACAGACATCCATCATCTTTTTTTCTCGTTCTTTTTTCTAGGCCAAAACTTGCAAAAGGGTACCTGAGTTTGGAGCGCGCTGAGGAGGAGGCAGAGCGCCGTCCAAGTTCTTGACCCGGAAGGTGACGGGAAGGTTTATGTCGCGCGACAGGAAGAACCGGAACTCGCCGCCGCCCCTCATCTTCGTCGTCGCTGGGGTCACACAGGGCATGCGAACCCTCTTAAATGCAAAGGGTCGCCGTTGGACAAGCGTGCGTCGTTCGTCGATTCCGTGCACGAACGCAGAGTTTTCGTCCTCCTGCGTTCGCTTCGGTTAGGGAAAGGGGAAGTGCCGGGGCAACGCCGGCACCGGCAAAATTCAGACGGTTAATTTCGTTGGATCGTTCCTGTGATATGAGTTCGTTTTCTGGAAAATTGCACCAGCAATCGAATTCTCAATGTCTGAAAAATATATATTTAATTACATTTCAAACTGTTATATTTGTGAGGCCATTTACAAAAAGGGGAGAACTTAAGAGGAGAAGTAATAGTAAGATAACGAGACAACAATACAAAAAAATAGAACTCAAATAGGCGACACTGAACAAATAACGAAAAGAATACTTTTCTAGATTATTACCAACGAGAGATGTTCATCGTTTATGGATTCAACATACGATTAAATTGTTGAGTGCACAACATAGTCATCCCCTACACACCCAACATGGAAGCCGATATGAGATCAGAGATGAACTCAACGCATGTTCATTGCCGGGAATGCAAGGTGAATCGACAACACAGAAATGAGACGGGTTGAAGTACCAACGCGCGATGTTTTAAAACTTTTGGAAAAATAATTAATAAGAATTGAAGAACCCGAGAGACGACGGTGGGGGCGCCGAAAGACGCGGACGCGCCTACACGTGCGGCCGTGGCAAGCCGCGCGCGTGCTACAAGCGCCTGCGCGCCCATACGGGCATTGCCGCATGGATGGCACATGCGCGCCGGCCACCGGGCAGGCCGACGCCATTGATGACGCGCAAACGTCTGTCGGCATCGACATGTCAAGGCCATGATGACGCCATCTTGCCTGGGCGACCAACCTCCCGGCGACCGACCTATTGGCAACCCGACCCGACCGAGACCCGATCCGTGACCCGACCCGAGCGTAGATCCGACTCCGATCCGGACGTTGACCCGACTCCGTGATCGATCAACGGCCAACCTGGCCGGATCGTCAATCGCAAACCTGCTTCAATTGTGTCAACCGCCAAACCGGTTGGACAGGCTCGTGGCTCCGACCAAGGTGCGCGTGAGCCACACGCGCCGCGCACCCTAGGTGGCGCGGCGCTCCGATCGGGCCGTGGTTGGTACCGTTGTGTTCGTATTGAAATTCTCTACATTGTGTATAGTTATTGTATATGTTCGAGGCTTCTAAATGTATGAAAATGCATACGGAACCCTAAATACGTGTATTTTTTGGGGTATTATTGCATTTTACTTGTATTTCCTTATGTTTTTGGAAATACAGGTTGGCTTACATGTAAATGACCACATAAAGATTATGTAGAGCATGATTCATTGATGGCATGTCTATATGGTTTGACGTGCTTGCAATTTCCTAATTTTGAGCATATTAAAATAATGGTGGAGATCCTTACGTCATGAATTCCGCTGTTGATTATATTTGTTGCATGAATGTTCTATTTATTGATTTACATCATGCCATGCTATATGATTGCTAGAAAGGATGTGATCATTGTTTTAGATATTTTTGTGAATTATCTAGTCTAGTGGGAGTTTGTAGGTTGGTAGAATTAGAAGAAATTCTCACCTAGAACTTAAAATTTGCACAAATTAAACAAGTTAATGACAGAGAACAATTGTAGCCGCTGATTGGGAACATCATGAACTTTCGTTTTGGTGTCTTTTGTTGAATTATCATTAATTTAGTTTGTCTTTGCTGCAAATTTAAATATGTGTGTTTATGTGGAAAATGTGCTAGTATTGATTCTGCGTTTATTATGTCAATGTGTAGTAGATAGTGATTATGGCTTCGGCATCCAAGACCATTGTGGCTGACCTCAATAAGGGTGAGAAGCTGAACGGTGACAATTATGATATTTGGCACCGAAAAGTTCAATATATCCTTGAGGAGCAAGAGGTTTTGGAAACCCTCAACCACACCATGGATGAACCCGAGCATGGAACTTCTGCTCAACATAAAAGAGATCAAGAAGCTTATCAAGCTTGGAAAAGAAAAATAGCATTGCTCGCATCACGTTGCTGAGCGTATGCAAGATGATCTCATGTGTGAGTTTGAAAGTTATGATAAAGCTCAAGCAATGTGGGTTGCCTTGAAAGATAAGTTTGGGGTACGTCTGCCACTAAATTGAGGAGGCTCACCATCAAATTTGACACATACCGGAAGCGCTCAAATCTATCAATGAGGCAGCATCTTCGGGAGATGTCAAACATGATACGTGAGCTAAAGTCGGCAGTCATACCTTAACCGACGAACAACAAGTTCAGGTTGTTATAAGGTCTCTTCCCGACACGGGAACACATGAAAATCAATATGACACACAATGAAAATATCGTCACTTTTGATGATATTGCGCGTCATTTGGAATTAGAAGATGAGTGCCTAGAGGCTGCAAAATCCTCTACCCATGCTTATGTTGTTGAATCAGGTTCGGGCAAAGCTTCGGGCTTTAAGCGCAAGAGGAACCATAAATTCAACAACAAAGGAAAAGAGACCGATCGTGCACCCAAGAGAGCCAAGACCTTCCGATGCAAGAAGCGCGGCGGGAAGAAGGATAAGGCCAAGATGATGTGCTACAATTGTGGCAACCGGCACTTCGCTCGTGAATGCACCGAGCCGAAAAAGGTACCACATTACTCCATTACTTTGAGTAGTGCTTTTGTTTCTAGCACTGTAATGCTTGCTGAATCTCATCCAATGTGAACCGTAGACTCAGAGCAACAGGACTACGTAGCTAGAGACCGAGGAGTATTTGTGGAGTATCATCGGATACAGCCCGGAAGAAGATGGATATACGTTGGAAATAACTCAAGAGTTGAAGTGAAGGGTATCGGCACATGTAAATTAACCTTTCGTGGTGGTCGAGACCTATTCCTACATGATGTCCTCTATGCTCCGGATATTCGGCGAAACTTGATCTCCGTAGTTGTTCTTCTTAGCTTAGGTTATATTTTTAATTTTCATGGTGATTGTGTTGACATTTTATTTGGAACAGTTTATTACGGTTCTGGTTATGTATTGAATGGTTTTACGGTATTAGACATTGACTATGATGTGTACAAAGTTAATGTTGATGGTTGTTTTTCTTTAATTGCATCTTCTAGTAATGTAGAGATTGATGCAAGTACTTGGCATGCTAGACTGTGTCACATTGGGTTACAAAGAATGAAACGATTAGCAAGAGAAGGCCTTTTGGGGTCACTCGCTAATATTGAACTATCCATATGTGAACATTGTCTATCGGGAAAAAATAACTAGAAAACCATTTGGTAAAGGAACCAAGCTGAACTTCCATTGCAACTTATACATTTTGACATTTGTGGTCCTTTAAATGTGAGGGCAAGGCATGGAGCCTCATATTTCATCACTTTTATAGATGACTTCACGTGTTTCGATTATGTTTTTCGATCTCTCATAAGTCCGAAGCATTGAATTGCTTTAGGCGGCTTATAGCTTTGGTAGAGAATCGCTTGAACAAAACAATAAAGGCATTGAGAATCGATCGTGGACGTGAGTATCTATCCGAGCAATTCAAAGCTCTTTGTGATGAAAAGGGAATTGTAAGACAATTGACTATTCCTAGTACTCCGCAACAAAATGGGGTTGCGTAGAAGAAGGAATAGAACCCTTTTGGAAATGGTTAGGTCTATGATGGCGCAGCAAATCTTCCTATCTCATATTGGGGAGATGCGTTATTGATCGCTGCCTATATACTTAATTGTGTGCTCTTTAAGCCGGTTGCTTTCACCCCCTATGAATTGTGGACTGGTAGGAAACCAGACTTAAGTAATCTACGACCTTGGGGATGTGCAACATATGTTCACGATTCTTCCCATAAATATGGCAAATTAGGCCCTAGAGGGAAGAAGTGTATCTTTATTAGATACTCCGAACACTCCAAAGGGTACGTGTTCATAGGTGAACAAGCCGATGGAAGTGTGACTGAAATGGAGTCACGAGATGTCACGTTCTTAGAGAACGATTTTCTTAGTAGAGATGAGATCGATAAGGACTTCCAATTACATGAGATGGAAAATCCCGATAACACACCCACTAATGTTATTGAGGGAAATACAGATTTACCTCAACATACAAGACCTAGCTGGGAGTGTAGCGTCGCATGGCGATCTAAATTCTCAAGAAGTTCAGCTGCGTAAAAGTAATCGTAAAAGTATTCCCCGTCGTTGATTTGAGATTGAAGGGGAAGCATTTATGATTGCTTCACAAGACGATGCAGAGCCTAAAAACAATTCAAGATGCTCTCTCATCTCCCGACAAGGAAGAATGGGGAAAAGCTTTGGAAGACGAAATTGAGTCTATGAGGACAAACCATGTCCGGGACTTGCTTGATCCGCCACCCATTCGCAAGGCTATTGGAAACAAATGGATTTTCAAGATTAAGCGAGGGGCGGATGGATCCATTGAAAAGTATGAGGCTCGCCTTGTGGCAAAAGGCTATACTCAACAAGAGGGTATAGATTATGAGGAAACTTTTTCACCAGTTGTAAGGTTTGTCTCCATACGTCTTATCCTAGCCATTGTTGCACATTTGGACCTAGAATTACATCAAATGGATGTAAAGACAGCATTTCTCAATGGAGAACTAGATGAAGAAATCTATATGAAACAACCAATAGGTTTTATTGCTTTGAAGGTCAAGAGCGTAAAGTTTGCAAACTTCATCGCTCAATTTATGGCCTTAAGCAATCATCTAGACAAAGTATTTTCGTTTTCATCGAGCCATAACTTCTTTTGGGTTCACGATGATCGAAGAGGATCACCGTGTGTATATCAAACGGTCCGAGGATAAATTTATGATTTTATCTCTTTATGTGGACGATATTCTGTTGGCTGGAAATGACAAGGGTTTGGTTATAACCATAAAAGAATGGTTATATTCTAATTTTGAAATGAAGGACATGGAAGAAGCTGCATATATATTGGGAGTTAAGATTGAAAGAGATCGATCAAAGAAACTCCTTGCTATGTCACAAGAGTCTTATATAATGAATATTCTTGAACGCTTTAATATGCAACTCGTAATCCCATTGATACCCTTGTCATGCAAGGCGAAGGCCCGAGTACTAAAATGTGTCCTAAGACTCTAGAAGAAAAGAAAGAAATGGTAACTGTTCCTTACGCTAGTGCCGCCGGAAGTTTGATGTATGCTATGATGTATACTC